GATCACTGAATATAGTAGGATCGCATATGCTTCCAATATGTTCATTTGAACCAAATTCATGACCCCATACCAAAACTTTGTATTACCTTTAAGTCATATTTTTACCATAGAGGTAGCACCCTCCTGGCTCCCAACAGATGTTTTGGGGGGTATTTGGTATAATTTCAAAAATCAACATGGCAGCCCAAGAGCTGAATGGCATGGAATTTAAAAAATAAAATCACAAAAACAAAATGATAATAATAAAGTCATTTTTATATAGCGCATAATAATAAATTCTCTATGCGCTTTACAACAATCAATTATACAATATATTACATGATTAATCTAGAGTTTTGAATATGCATGAATTAACAGAAATACATATCGTATACATTGATGAAAAAATCAGATATGATATAAATGGCATAAACTTATGAACACAATTATAATAGTTAAATAATTACGATCTTATTGTAGTAAAGAAATAACATTATTTGACATAAACTACTAGCATCTTAAATCGGTACATATATCGTAGTCAGACAATGATATGAAGGAGAGAAACAAAGAAAGAGAGAGAGAGAGAGAGAGAGAGAGAGAGAGAGAGAGGGATTTATGTATCTTGAGGAAAGACTTGTGAAAGTGTCAAATACAAACTTGTTTATTTGAGAAAAGAAATGTATAACTTCTCCTTTGAGAAATGAAAAGCTAGGCCTATGTTCCATATTCCCAATTTGGAATTTCATAAAAACATGTAAGCTATATGTTTACAGGGGGATACAGAATTATTGTAGGCCTAGGCCCTACATGTAATATCAATGATAAGAGGCTTACGGTTGGCAAGAAGTAGGCGTACAATACATGTTTGTTTGATATGTTAAAATTTATATTCAGCATGTATGAAACAACAGATGAATTATAACACCATTTCACCATTTAAAAAATACAAAAAATTCGACCTTGCCAGGACTCGAACCTGGAATCCCCTGATTCGTAGTCAGATGCCTTATCCATTGGGCCACAAGGCCGCCCTGCCGCGTTGGCAATCGTAATGGCATTATCGATATCGCTCAATACGTGAACTTGTGAAATCGATATCGAACCGGATATCGAAACGGTTGACTGGATCTCAGTTCATGAAAGGTACGATGTCACAGTAGTCTATAGGCACAGACTCTTTTTTTTAACGCTTGGACACAATTCGATAAAGCCTTGAGCCTAGCCTAAAACTCTGTCAGTATTTGGATCAGCACCTACCCTGCCGTTCAATGTTTTTTTTTTAAACGTGTATACAGTGTATATATATATAGACTACATAACATAACTATAGACTACATAACATATTCAGACTATGTTACTGCAGTTGCAACTACTATCATACAGGCTCATCTATCTCTCTCTCTCTCTCTCTCTCTCTCTCTCTCTCTCTCTCTCTCTCTCTCTCTCTCTCTCTCTCTCTCTCTCTATATATATATATATATATATATATATATCCCTCTTCCGCTTGACATAATTATGCATAATGTTGTAATCATCATGTATCAAGCATTATTATTCTGCGTTTATTCTTGGAACTTACCTGCACTTTATACATTTGATTATTCTAGCCTTTGGCATAGCCAGGATTCAGTAGGGGGCATGGAAGGCTCGCCACATTTTGTTTTATTTGTGTAAGATTGTTTGATTGTTCGTTTGTTTTTCTGGTTTATTTTTTCATATGCCACGAAGCACCATAACTAAATAAAGCTTTCATATTTATCTCATTCCCTTTGGGATCGTGGCAAATTTTAACCTGCACTTTTAAGTATATAGAAACTGTACATTCCCATACATGTCAAAGACTTATGCAGTGTTACCATAAAAAAAAAAATTCCTGAGCACTTCATCCCCCCTCCCCCCCCCCCCCCCCTCACCCCCTTGTCTATGTCGTTGAGGCTGTGTACCAATCGATGTGTCTCTTTGTCTTTCTCTCGTCCTTGTACTACTTCATCTCTCTCCGCCTTAATATTGATTTTTTTTTTCCCCTCATTTCTCTTTTCCTATCTCTATCCTGTAATCTAATTTCCAAACAATGAAGATGCTTTTAAACCATCCTTGGCTTTTGTGGTTTGGTACAGAATCAATAACTGAAGAAGATGCTTTGCGATTAATAGCCATTGTTATCAAAACATTTCCTTAACGCCGTCATCAGAATGTGTATCATTGTGATGTAATTTTTTATATTCATCAAACTGTTGTGTTGTGCCACATTACATGCCTTATCATTTCATTTCATTTCTTTATTATGTCCATAGAGGATAAATTGTTCATATCTACATTTACCATGTTGCTTCACATTAATTTCACAGGAACAACATATTATAGTTGACAATCATAAGTGCTTAATTAAATACATCATCATCATGATCATCATCATCATCATTAAGCTCATATTTATCATCATCTTCATCCTCATCATTATCATCAACACCACCACTTTCAATATCATCTTCATCCTAATCATCATCATCAACATCACCACCACCATCCCCACCTTCACATCGTCATCATTATCATCATCATCACCACCACCACCACCTTCACCATCATCATCATCATCACCACCACCGCCACCACCACCACCACCACCTTCACCATCATCATCATCACCACCACCACCACCTTCACCATCATCATCATCACCATCATCATCATCATCATCACCATCATCATCATCACCACCACCACCACCTTCACCATCATCATCATCATCATCATCACCACCACCACCACCACCACCACCACCACCTTCACCATCATCATCATCATCATCATCATCACCATCATCATCATCATCATCACCATCATCATCATCACCACCACCACCACCTTCACCATCATCATCATCATCATCATCACCACCACCACCACCTTCACCATCATCATCATCATCATCATCATCATCACCATCATCATCTAGCTACGTCATCAAAACACATCGCTTTTGGCGTTTACCAGTAAATTTTACGAACAAACAAGGAAAACAACAAAAGAACATAAAAAACATATAGCTGTGTTTACAATGTGTCTCATTAAATATGAAAGTCAAACACAACCATACAAAACATTGGATACAAACATTACACTGTAACCTGTTTTTACGGAAAAACTACCAGCTCAAACCTAAATAATTGACATGCATGCTTGCTAAACACTCAGGAAATGTACAAGAGTGGAATGGTTGCATTTACACGACCCATTCATAAGAACAACAATTAAATTTCATCAAACACAGTCATTTGTATTTATATAATGACAATGTTCATGCACATATCAATTTTAAAAGAATTACTGATGCTCAAGGCTCCTTGCAACTCGAGTTTTAGCTTTCTGTTCAATGATTTGAATCAATTCATATTTTTCCTATGCATTCATCCAACATCCGTCTAACACGTTTGTTTAACTTAAAATGTCAAGTCTGACGATATGTTTTATAGTTGCCAAAAATGTTTTAATGTTAGAGTCTAAACAAACGACGATGCGAAAAGTATTTGTATACGGTTACTGATTTAGACTATACAACAAAATACAGCGTATGTTTGAATGTGTATAATGAATGTAAGCTACATTAAAGTACATAATTATTTAAAGTGTAATTTGGTCATTACATGAACATTTAAAGAATGTGGGAAAATACAAATAGCAAACATTAGCAAGGGACTCGACTATATAAATCAAAATCATATTTTAAAAGACAAAACAAAAACAAACCTTCGCTATTATATACAATTTATCTATAAGAGGTAAGCTACTATCACTGACATAAAATCCAAGTTGTTTTACTTCTTTGAATATATTCATCTTATCGAAATATTTTTTCAAGTAAAATTACGCACTTTATCTCGTCGCTTTTCTGGGATTAAGAATTTGCGAGGGAAATTAAAACGATAAGGTATTTTATAACAATGACTTGACCTTTCATGCCTCAGTCACATCGCCCAAAACGATTCCGAACCGCTTTGAATAAGACATAATAGAGAGTAGCGTACCCTGCTGTTGGAAAGTCTTCCCTGTATATGTCATTTATCTTCGTCATTGCATGATATTTAGAAAATTGTTTACCTCTACATCAGTACAATCATTTCAACTATTGCTTGCCGCTTGTGTTAGGCCTGGTTATGGCTCTGAACTTGTCTCTTGCGTGAGCCGCTGGTTTTAGTTACATCAGTTCACACATTTTTTTACTACCCTGGTTACCTGGACTTCTCTGGTTAAATGTTTCTGAGACTTTCCGAGCGAGACATGGGCTTTCACGTCAATCACTATCAACAGCGGAGGAAATACAGTTGTGTCAGACAAAGGCTTGACCAAGCTATCATGTCACAGACACATTTTAAAAGAATTGCTATAACCTAATTGTTACGCGCAATCAAAGTGAGCAGTACCAACTTGATTCACAATCAGCCACGAATTAAGACGAATGATTTTATGATTTGGTCAGAACAAAACTAATTTAAAAACTGCAATACGAAGACAAATTAATTACAATATAAAACACTCATAATTAGTTTTTGCAATTTGATTAGCCTTTAACCATAGATACAGTAGTGTAAAATACATGGCATGTTTACATCCTCATATACAATCACTTTATAACAATTGTCTACATAATAATGTTGCTATATTCGTTCAGTTAGACTATGTATGATGAAATATACAGTCAAACCTGTCTATAGCGACCGCCCAAGGGAAACACAAAAAGTGGTCTTTGTAGACAGGTGGTCTTTGTAGACAGGTTCCTTATGTACATGTTTCAATGAAAAACCATTTTCAAGGGAAACAAAAAATGTGGTCTTTATAGACAGGTGGTCTTTGTAGACAGGTGGTCTTTGTAGACAGGTGGTCACTAAAGCAGGTTTGACTGTAATACTCTTGGAGAGAAAAGGAACAAATTAATACTGAACAATCCTAAACCTAATATTTGGAATTTGAAACTGAGTAATTTTCGATTTATTGTTTTTTTATAATTTCGCTTCTTCAATCTTCACTATTCTGTAATAGATCTAGAATATTGCTTTTTACACTTTTGAATTGCTTTATCTTAAAACATTTCATATGATAATAATGATAGTAATAAATGTGGATACGGAATGAGTATGAGTCTAAACAATGAATTTGTATTGCACTGCAATTGAAGAACTTCACCTATCAAAACAAATATTATAGAAACTAGAAACTTATTTTTTAAAAATCACATTTTAACTGCCAGATTAAATACAGAAAGGCAAACGTCTGAAGTCCTCTTCCCCTCTGTCTTTTTAGACTTTGATATGTCATTTTCTGCTCACTGAAGATATATACTTACACTATGAAGTGTGGAACCATGTGCATAGAAATACAAATGATATTTAACGGGGAAAATGACACAGCAATAAACATACAATCGGCTTTTTTCACATTAGAAAGATTTTGATAAGAAGCTCGAATATCAATAGCAACATTTTCTTTTACAAATGTACACAGTTTTCTCTTTTTGATTTGCATAATAGAATTTAGATGATAAAACTGAAAGTCGTTTTAATCTGAGAGTATATTTTTTAGTGACAATCATCATTCATATCACTTGATTAATATTTACGATTCCTTTATTATTTTAGAGCCTTCTCTAGCATAAACTTCTTTATATTTAGGTTTTTCCTTAACTAATGACCTTCAGATAAATGACAACCCCCCCCCCCCCATTTTTTTTTCTTCTTATACTTCATTACAAAAACGGAAACCGTTTTAAAGTTGTCTTCATTTTTCTGAACAGTCTTGCAAATCATGACAAATTTAGCATGTTTGTGGGTTGTCATCAAGTCATATTTACTCTAATTATGGAGAAAATTTTCAAGTAGGATCTTTAAGTAGTTTGTTAAATGTTGATTTAACCTAAGAAACCCTCTTTCATTTTTTTCAATTAGGTGCAAAAGAAACTCTACTTTTACTGCGGTAGTTCGTTATCTACTGTAGCAGGGGCTTGGTTATCAGCTACAGCGCCCTCTCCGACTGTCTCGGTTATATCGACACGGTGGCAATGACCTTTGCTCAAAGACTTCTGTTTCCTGTTCTTTCCTAGGCAAGTAAGACCTGGGTAAAAGAAAGAAAAAGGAACACTATTGAATGACTGAATATTGTGATATATTTCAGTGATTTTCTATCATCTTTTATTTTGTACCAATATTTTATCATGCATGTTCCTATATCTTTTACCACGCTAACTATGTATTATGTCCATTTATGTTGCCTTATTCTAAATCATCCATTCTTCCTTTTCCTCTTCCTCTTCTTCCTCTCTCTCTCTCTCTCTTTCTCTATCTCTCTCTATTTCTCTCTCTCTCTCTCTTTCTCACTCGTCCTTTTTTCCCTCATTTTTAATCTTCGTCTTTTCTTTCGGAGCTCCTGCTCCTTCTTTTTTTCCTTTTGTCTTCTTTGTTTTGATACTTCTCTTTGTGCACTAAATAATCTTTTCTATTTTCGTCCGTCCCCCCCCCCCCTCCCTTTCTCTGAATAAACGTTCTCATAATAATACGCCGAAAGTTATGCTCCTTCACCCTACCTTCACTGCACATGCATGGATGCACGCAATGGTGTCCTTCCGGTTTGTTGACCACGTGACATACTTTCTTCCCGCGTCTTAGCAGACAGCACTGACCTGATAAAGAGGTGACAAAATGGCGGGAAACAATTCATCCCGAAACTGTAGTCTCAAAATCACTCAATAAATTCACCAAATTCAAGCCATAAATAGCATTATCATCTTCTTCTTACCCAAAATGCTTTCGTATTAGCTACTGAATGATAAAAAAACCTATATTGCATAAGGTTGTTATAGATAGTAAACAAATAAGATTTAATTTAGGAACTTGCGTGTGTCATTACATAAAACATACGAAAAGTTAATTTACATTAAATGTACATCAACATCGTATAACCATGAAAAATGGTAAGCATTATTTTACAGAAAGTATGAGCTTCCGGAGAAAAGCGAATTCTATGGGTAAAAAGCTCTTTGTACAATGCTATAGAAGATTGGAGATGGTACACACTGTGCACGGAACAGCAATTG